AAGTGGCAGAGTACCTGCTTTGCAAGTATGAAGCCCTGAGTTCAAACTCCAGACCCACCAAAAAAAAGAGTGTATTGGAGAGCATGGTATGAAAACCAAAATGTTACAAGAGTAAAGGACCCTAAAGGAAAATCAAGAAATCTTGAGAAAGAGTAGAAACAATTCTTTCTCAGAAGCATGAAGTATGGTGGATTTTTGTTATATTTTGATCAAATGGCATTCATTTTTCCTCTACATGGCACCCTGATTACCTTTTAGGGAAGTACAGCTTCTCTGTTGTTTTCTGATGGGTCATTAATCATTGGAGGTCTTGCATCAATTTAGCCATTCTACAAGCAACTTCTGTAACCCAAGGTAAGTCATCCAGATGCTCTTAACTAGTGAGCAGAGTGACAAGAGCCTGAAAATGGATTAATCAAGTAGGTCAGACCTGAAATTCTTAGCTGTTTTGGCCAACAAAAACCTTTTTCTAATTTTGTCTAGGTTTTCCTTGGTTCCTATAAAATTTCCAGTCTATGTCTCCAGGATTTTTTTTTCTTTTGGCAGTGCTGGGGATCAAACCCAAGTTCTTTTGCATACTAGGCAAGTGCTCTACCACTGAGCTACATCCTCAGCTCTTATATCCAGGCTTCTTGATACCACAATTTACTATATATTGTACCAAAGACAATTCCATTTGTCTTTGATAGTCCATTTTGTGTCACTCCAGCCAAAAAACTAACTAATACAGAAGAGAGAGAAAGATGATCTTTCAAAGAATAATATGTTTGAAAGAGTAGATACTGATGATGTTCATAAAACATATACAATTCTAGGTTACATATAAATTAGGCTATCATTTTTACAGAATCAGGGGCTTGAAAAAATCTACAGGCTTTTTTGGTCTATTTTATTTTTTCAACTGCCCCTAAAATGAATGGGTTAGATAATGATAAAAATGATTGAATAATTGCACATCTCATTGTGGCTGAAAAATATAAATTTTTGATGGTTTCCAGTGAACATAATTATGCAAATTAATTTTAAGGTATTTAGAAATCATGGGATGGGATTAGAGAATATAAACTAGTAAGGACTACAAAATGCTAATATGATTTAGGGATTATTGGAGTATATGCCACTAAATAGTAAGAGAATGAATAAATGAAGTGGGAAAGCTCTGGGATTCCACTGGGCTAGTATTGCTCTAGATCTTATATATGAGGGTGGTTAGAATCAGTAAGCCCCCAATAAGGGTTACAAAAGGATTGGATTTAGGATCAAGCAATTCCAGGAAGAGTATTTATCCACATGTCTACAGGAAGCACAGACCAAATGAAAACCCCGGCTTATGATCCAAGAAGGGAAAATAACTCTATAACCCTGAATACAGTCCTGAGCCTCAAGCACAGAGAGTAATAAAATGCCACAAATGTGAAAATGAGTGATAAATTCACAAATTTGGGGGAGATGGAGCAGACTGAGATGTGATAGGATGTGATCAAAATGACTTGGAGGATGTCAAGGCACATATTCCTGCCTGGTTGTTGATAGGAGATGTGATAATAGGAAAATGAAGGTGAGGCTCCAGTAAATTGGAAGACAATAATAAATAATTGGAGAATAGGAATAGCTCAAAAGCAAAAATAAAACTTGTTAAAATTGAGAGAACAGAAGAGATGGAGAAATTCAGAAAGAAATCTCAGGATTGAAGCAAATGGAGGTGTAAACACCATGTGAGTGGATTATTAGTATAATATATATTAAGGAAATTAATCTAGGATATATGATGAGTCATAAACATAGAAATTAATTATGATTGTTGAAAATTTATAAGAAGAAAGGATGGAAAAAAAAGTCTTATCATCTTTCAGTGAAAACCAGTTTCTGGCAGATAATTCAGGGATGGAGGGACAGTCTGAGAGGTGACAGCCAAGAGGAAAATGATGGAAACCAGTGTAGACTACTAGTCCAAAAGATTGCACAAAAAATCCTGATTTTGTAGTAACTGTGTCCATTCTCACTCTTTCCTTTACTGGATCTTTAGGTCAACCTAATCTTTTTGAAATGAGATGATTTCCCTTATCAGACCAATATCATCACTGTGAGAATCAAGCCTCCACACATTCAGGTTTTTTCTGCAGGGTTAGCTTCATCATTACAAGTTTTCCTCAAAAGGCTTAGGGAATGGTGGCGAGTTTATTGAGTTCACTGTCTTGAGGGATAGATGCAGAAAAGGTGGTGGAGTCCTATGACAGGTGGAGCAAAGGTGCTGGGCACTGCAGCTACGTGAGGGGGTAAAACCCTTGGGTTAGAACATGGAAAAGATTTGTAGTATTTTGGGGTCAGAATTCACATGCTTCATGGGGAAAAAGACAGGAAAATTAACATGATCCATAATAATCAAGACCAGGGACTTTGGAGTAAGGAAAATGTTGATTAAAATATTGGCTTTGCTAGTTAACAATTGTGTACCTTCCTTCAAGCAACTTTCTTTTTTTTTTTTTTTTTTTTTTTGGTACTGGGTTTTAAACCATGCTTACTGGGCACTTTACTACTTGAGCCACTCTTCCAGTCCAATATCAGGTGCAGACTTTGTTGTGTATGGAGCAGGTAGTTTTTTGCTTTTGAGGGGGCATTTTTCGGGGTACTGAGATTTGAACTAGCCTCATCCTTGCTTGGCAGGCACTCTACCACTTGAGCCACTCCGTCAAAGCTTCCTTACCTTTCTGAGTCTGTTTCGTCATCTCTCAAATTGCTACAATATTTCATTATATAATCTTATGTGAAATAGCTCCAGTAACTCTTTTCTCATTAAATATGGCCATTCTGCAAGCACACTAACACACAGTCAGTGCTCATCAGATGGTAGCTTAAAAGAAAAATCTAACCATTAGGGTTGATGTAGTGACTCAAGTGGTAAAGTGCCTGCTTAGCAAGTGTGAGGTCCTGAGTAGTTCAAACCCCACATCCACCCCCAACCTCCCCCCCTGCCCCAAGATCTAACCTTTGGATCTAAGTTATTTGGATCAGTGGTTTCCAATTCCTGTAGTTTTCTATATTGGCAACATATTTTTTAAATTTTAATTTATTTTAATTAATTATCATTTGTGGTGCTGGGGGATCAACCCAGGGCCTTCAGTGTATTAGGCAGTCTACTATTGAGTGACACTCTTAGTCCTGCTTTAATTATTTATCTTTTTTATTTAAAGTTATTTTATCCTGATTCCTTCTGTTTTGTTTTTAATCTTGCACATTCAGCTCACGGCTATATTTTTCATCATTTTATTTATTACTGTAGTATCTGTATCATGGTATAAATAGTACACTACACTTTAATCATAATTTTTTCCTCGATGATATAAATTCAGTGGATGTTACATATCCAGTGAAAACTCAAAAAGCATATACAAGTCCCTTATATTGTTAATCTTTCAATTACTTCCCATCACACTAAACACTACATTGGCAAGCTCTACCGTACCCATACCACCAGACACACTTCATCAGGCCCGATTATTTATAGTGTAATTTCATTCATTCAGCTCACTACACCTCTCTGACCACCAGTCTCCACAGCCCACCTAGTTCGGGGCCTTTGATTTTCCTAGAACATTCTATGTGTGTTCTCATCTCAGAGTATTTGATCTTGTTCCTTTTTTCTCCTAAAATGCTCCTCCAAAGATATATTCATGACAGATCCTTCATTTCATTTTTAACACCCCTGAAATTGCCCCCCATAAGATCTCCCATCAACCAATATAAAGAAGCATATCTGCCTCATTCATGCCTTTTTCCCTCAAAATACTTCTCACTTCCATACGTTACATGTTTATTCATGGCTTATTACTTTCTCCTCAGTGGGCAGGGGGAGCAGCATCTCTCAAATAGGGGCTCTCCAGCCAACTCTCAGATATCTTTTCTTGCATAATTGGATGGCATACTCACAGCTAAGGATTTCTTCCATTTCTTTGAAGGGTACATTTCCATGTCCTTAATTTGACTCTCAGGTGCTTTGATAGTATCATTAACCAGATATGCTGGAGATGAAGCACCGTTCATTCCTCTGTATTTCCCTTTGGGTGTCAGAACCACAGTGGGTGAGAAACACCCTGTTTTCTATGAATGAATAAGTGAAAAAAGATGGGTTATCATTTTTACTTTAGAAGGTGAGCACTATGAGGGTAGGGAACTAACTTTATCACAATGATTAAGAGTCATTTCTTCAGTCAGTTAAATTTCACCAGAGAAGTTGAAGATAATTGTACAGTTTTTAAAGATGAAATCTTTTCCAACAAAGCACATTTTATTTATTTAGAAATCACGCTTTATTGATTAAATCACCAGGAATTTTCAGCACAAGTTTAAACATCTTAATGACCACCAAGATCTTGGCTCTAGATTTGCTCTGTCTCTCCCAGTCCTTAGTGGGGTTTAGTGGGAAAAACATCATTAATAGAGACCAAGTCATATGGTTGCAAGTTCTTCTTTCCCAGTCATTGGACAAGCTGCTCAATTCTTGCCCAGAGCAGGAAATAGTATCTCAGAAAAGTCTAAGAGAGAATTTGACATTGCATTACAAGGGCTCTCTTAAACAATGTAGATTTCATCAACAGTCTTGATCCCAAATCATTTGCTCCTGATCTATTTTTTTGTTTTGCATTTTTTTTTGCTCTATACAATTTTAATAAGCAATCTTACTCCCTGAGCAGAAAGAAATCAACCTAGTGCAAAGAAAAATCTCTCATCTTGCTTTGGAAAGAGGAAACACAGGTTTTTCTGCTACTCATTTATCCAAGAAGTGAACAAACATCCTCCTAGAGTTCAAAATGTTACTTCTGGCCTTGGAATATACATAGAGTCAGCTTTAGGTGAGTTGATTCAAATCACATAGAATGGGCAGCTAGAATTACAGTGTAGGCTTCTTTCTTTGGATATTTCTTAGAATTAAATCTTAAAAATCTGTCCATGATTGTGCAGAAAGGGTCTAAGTTTCCAACAGCTTCTGCTCATCCATCTCATCAGCTAGGTTCAGAAGCACTGAACTTGTGAGACACAAGAGCAGTAGGCACATCGGCCCCACGAGGTTGAACCTCAATAACCCAAGGTATATCAATGATCTGGGCAGTCCTGTTTCCCTTTTCCACAATGCCAATAATCCATGCCTGCCCACCCTCTCCATACTTGGAAGATTTGATGGCAGAACAAAAGCAAGCTGCCTGTTCTCTTGGTAGATAAATCAGCAACCCCCCTGAAGTTTCAGCTGAGGTTCCTTGAAGGAGTCCAAACTGCCCACTGGCCTTGCTGATGACAGCCATCTTGACAATGATTGGCAGGTTGTGGATGACAAAGGATACCTCATTTCTTTGTTGTTTTACAAGGTTCTGACAATGCCTTAGAATGCCAAAGCCCGTTGTATCTGTGGCTGCATGGGCATTAAATGTGTGCATTAATTCAGCAGCAGTTCTGTTTAGGGTAGCCATACTGAACATAGCTTCCTGATAGGCCACCACTACCTCTTCTCTAGAGACCACCATCTTTATCTTATTCCATTTCTCAGGACTATCTAACCATTGGTGAGCATTTAGAGCAACTTGGGTTCCTAAGGGTTTGGTTAACAAGAGCATATCTCCTACAACTGCACTGTCAGGTGTTATAAGTTCATTTGGCTGACGTACTGCAGTGTCAACTCCACCAATGATAATCCAAGGGTTGACCACTGTCTGTCCTCCAGTCACTACAGTCCCTCCTTCCTCAGCAGCATCCCGAAAGCCTTTGATCATGAGCGATGTTATCTTTTCTCGTTCCTTCTTGCTCATGTTCTGGCTGACGCTGAGTAACATTAACATGTTGTCACAGTCAGTAATGCCCATGGCATAGAGGTTACTCAACACATTGGCACAAGCTATGCGCCCCATCATGTAGGGATCATCTACCAGTGGGTAAGAGAAGTCAGTTGTCTGCACCAGTGACAGGCCCCTGTGCCTCAGTGGGATGATGCAGGAATCCAGCCCAATGCCCAGGGATGGATAGGTTGGGCTAGGACCAGCCAGAGCTGACAGGCTGGCCTGTTGGGCTACCTCTTTTTGGTCTAGGCCCTGTGGAGGCCGCACTTTTGGTTGCGTTAGTCCCTCCAGGAGTTTGAGCAGTGCCTCCTGGGGGACCTTGCAGCTTCAGCCCTTCATGCCTGAGAAAACTGTCAGTCGCCAGCTGGGGCTGAGCCCCAAAGCCTGTGGCTGGAAGGGCCAGTAGCTGCAGAAGTTGAGACCTAGAGACAAAGCAGCTGGGCAGGAGGAGCCTTCTGTAGCTATCTCTGAGGTGCCTTCTGCTATTGCTCCTGCAGTCAGGGAGGGAGGGGAGAGAAGAGGAGAGGGCCTTTGATTCCTATTCAAGTTAATAGGAAGTAATCAAATTACTCTGAGATTCCTCCCACTGCATGACTTACGCTACACACTTCCTCTAAGGATGAAATGTAAGCAATCAGTTTCCAAGTGCACACATTTTTGAAACGTGACCTTCATGTCCTTATGATGGTAAAATACTTAGTACATTAGTACTCTTCAGAGAGTTATTGTTAACCTGTAACAATTTTCCACTGCAGAGTTTTTAATGTAAGCTATTCAGTTGGGTAGAAATCATAGACCTTGAAACATAAAATGGTAATGCTTCCCAAACACTAATTAACAAAACATTGTCATTACAAGACAGAACTGGACAACAGCTCTCAGAATTACTAGTGGTATTAGTGAGCACCATTCTAAATGTTTATGTATTTTACTATATATACTATTGCCATCTCCATCTCACAGATGAGATACAGAAAAGTTAGATTCTCCTTTAAACACAGGTAGCTATCTAATAAGTGAATGCACTGGGTTGGTTATAATACCTCAAAATTCATGTCCACTTGGGACTTCTTCAGATTCAGAAGTCCCAAGTGGTCCAGCACACTAACCACCTTTTTTCTATCCAGTACTGGCGATTGAATCCAGAACTTTGTGCATGCTGCATTCTAGGCAAACACTCAACCACTGAGCTACATCCCCAGCACTAATCACCTTTCTTGGCAGCTCTTATGGCTACAACTAAAGATACGGAATATGTCTTTTAGAAATCCTTTGATATCATCAGGGGATTGGGTCTGGTTCCCTGCAAATGCCAAAATCAGATGCTCAAGTCCCTTTTATATAAAATGACATAGTATTTGCATATAATCTATGCACATTCTCCTATGGACTATAAGTTTAGATTACCTATAATATCTAATTCAATGTAAATGCTTTGTAAATATCGTACTATACTGTTTATGGAATAATGAGAAGAAAAAGTATACATGTGGCTGGGTGTCGGTGGCTAACACCTGTAATCCTAGCTACTCAGGAGGCAGAGATCAGGAAGCCAGCCCCGGTAAATAGTTTGTGAGACCCTATCTTTAGAAACCTCATCACTAAAAAGGGCTGATGGAGTGGCTCAAGGTGTAGGCCCTGAGTTCAAAACCCAGTACCGCAAAAAAAAAAAGTATACATGTCCATCATAAACACAAACATCATTACTTTACTACATAGCACATGCCACAACAATGTAACATTTTTAAATCATCACTGGTTGAATCCATGCATGCAGAACCTCATGGACAATCAGGCACCAGTGGCTCATGCCTATAGTCCTACCTACTCAGGAGGCAGAGATCAAGAGGATTGTGGTTCAAAACTAGCCAGGGAAAATAGTTAGTGAGACCCTATCTTGAAAATATCCAACACAAAAAAATGGCTTTCCTTCCATCCTCCCTCCCTCCCTCCCTCTCTGCCTTCCTTCCTTTTTTCCTTCCTTCCTTCCTTCCTTCCTAGTTCTCTCACTTCTTACATAGAACAATGATGTTTAATATCAACAACTGTGAATACAGTAATAAGCTTAATTATATTACTCCATACATTTCTATAGTTTATGAATTTAAGTGTAAGTTAATACCCCATTCTTAAAGTTCAGGTTCTATGAGGGATCTATTTGAATTTTCATTTCATTTTCTATATCATGGCTTGCTGTAGATAGAATTTAAAGCAATTATGTCATTAAAATAAACTATTGTAAAATAATTACATGTGAAAATGGAATATTAAAGATATAAAAGAAAAAAAATCAAACTCAGGTTCTTCTATATATACTCACAGTACAGATGATTTCTGTGATCCCAAAATGTGTGGAAATTCTGCAGTGGACACCAACTGTGTGGCCTATACTTCAATTCAATTCAAATGCTAGCTACCTGAAGACAGCACCAGATTCACAAGTTGAGGGCTCAGTGCCACAAGACTGTCTTTGCTTTAGATGCTAGGTGCCAAATCTGCCCTTCTACAACTTCTGACCAGCTGGCTACAAATAAAGGTTCCCACTACCCCCTCTTTTGGTTCCATTAATTTGCTAGAGTGGCTCACAGAACTCAGAGAAATATTTACTTACATTCACTGGTTCATTAAAGGATACAATTGAACAGAATTCCGAGCTCAGCCTGTGGAGTTGGTATGTTACACCTTCATAGAATGGGGATGAGTCTGTGTTCACCTTCCTGTCAGCCTCCTTATGTTCTGCTGTTCAAAAGCTCTCTAAACCTTGTTCTTTGGTGGTTTTGTGATGACTTCATTGCATAGGCATGATTGAAGATTGGATAGCCCATGTAGAAATATGACTGCACAAAAAGGTATAATCTAATGATAGTAGAATGAGAATGGGAGACCCAGAAAGTCCTGTCTATTCAGATTCTTATTGGCCTATCTGGACAGTATTCCTTCCTCCAGAGTAAAAGGCTGGACCCCTTCTGAAATGAAGGTATCTCATGATCTGCTATCAATCAAAGTAGATCACAGAATATATTGTTGGCCAACTCTAAGTCAGAAGAGTGGGAAAAGATTAGACTGCTTTGGAAAAGGAGTTAAGAACCAAGAATTATAGACCCAGATATATACTTGTTTATGAGAATATATCTCATAAAATTAAAAGAGTGAAGTGCAGAATAAAAGAAAATTAATATGAAGGTAAGAAATGAGATTTGACCAAAAGAATGCAGAGTGGATCTTCAAAATTTGACTCTAAATGTAACAGGAATGCTAGAATAGAATCACATGCTCAGAGCAGTCTTTACATTTAAACATAAAGTAACTCAGGGTGACCTAGATAAGTTGTTCCTGGCTGGAGACCAGGTAGAGATTTCTCCCACGACCATACATAATGAAGGAAACTTCATGTATTGGATGTTTAGCTATGTTGTCATGGTGAAAGGGATTCTGTCATTATAAGAATATAGACTTTAGAGTCACATAAAACTGGGTTCAACTTTATACACTGTCAGTAGTATTTTTAGTTACTTTTTAGCCACTGTGGAAATAAATATAGAAGTTCCTCAAAAGAACTAAAAACAGAACTACCATATTCTCTAGCTATGCCACTCCAGTTTACATACCCAATCATACTAAATTATCATACAACTGAGATTCCTGTACATCCATGTTTATTTCAGCACTACTCATTATATCCAAGTTATGTAATCAGCCTCATTACCCATCAATATATGAATGAACAGAGAAAATGTGGTATGTGTACACAATGCAATTTTATTCAATCACACAGAAGAATGAAATTATGTGATTTTCAGGAACATGGACAGAAGTGGAACTCATCATGTTAAATGAAATAAGCCAGACTCAGAGAGACAAATACTGCATTTTTTCTTTTATGGGTGGATCTAGATTTTTTTCAAAAAGAAAGAGAACATGAAAGTATAAGGGAGACTATTTAGAAAGAGAAAGTGGACCAGTGGGAGGGGGAAGGGAGAAAGACGGGGTAATAGGGGCTGAATATGAATAAAGTATGTTATATACATGGTTCAAATCTTGACACTACCACCTACCAACTGAATGATCTTGGAAAAGGTATTGAGTTGTTTTTATTTTTGTTAACCGGGACATAATAAAAGTTAACTCATTCTATTCCTTTGAGGATAAAAAAGATTTGTGATATTTACAATACTTGGTAAGGTGAGATGTTTCTTGTTAGTTCTCTCTTAATACATTATTGTTTTCACAATAGACCTCTAATCAATCAAAACTGTTTCAAAACTGATGTTGATTTTTAGCAACTCATAAATTATTGAATTGCAAGCATACATTTTCATAGTCATATAAATGCTAACTTATATTTAGTAGTCTTTCCATGTATAATGCATTTATTTAACTTTTGAATACTTTATTTAAAGATTTTAAACATTAAGAACAGTGATATTCAAAGTGTGAGCAATGTTTCTCACCATTCTGCTCAATGAGGTTGAACCTGAGATGGGAGACTGGGTACTGCACTATTTAAACCTAGAAACCAGTACGATTTCTATTTGTCCCACTGTACAAATGTCTCATGGCAATGAGTGTGATTCATATATTTAAATATATTGTTGACAATCATAACCCCTAAACAATAGCCAATTGCTTCATGTGGTGCTATTCTAAGAAAGGAGAAATGCATTCTAACTCTGGAGGAAAAGCTAGCTCCATTGCACAAATTGTGAGACAGTTGCTTCTTAATGGATTGTGAACCATACTTTTGATTCTTTGTGACCACATGCAAGACCTACAAGCATATTTTAAAACCTAGATTTTATAAAAGACAGAAATTCACTTTATATCCTGTTATACCAGTTAGAAAACAGGTGCTGAATTAATAAATGTGGGAAGAAAGAAAGCAGGAAGTAGAGGGAGAAAGCCTTTCTAAAGGCTTGTCAGTTATTTAAAACCAATCATTATATTATCTCTATATTTAGGACATAAGAATCCTTCATTTCTGGTCTTCTCTTCCCAGCTAAGAGGTTAGACTCTCCAGGGATTTCTCACTTCCTATCTGTTCTCTTCTTACCAGCAATTAAGGAAAGTCACTTCATATTCCTTTGTCCAGATTGTTGACCTGCTTTTGGCTTAGAGGAATAGAGATAAAAGCACTCTAGATAAAGGTCAAAAGGTCTGGGGATCTGGCTTTATCGCCCCTAAAAAGTTGTGCAATCTCCGACAACATGCCTAATCTCTCTTGGGCCTTACTCTTTTCTATCTTCACAAAGAGAGCAGGACCAGATGACCTTTATAGTGTTATGTTGAATAGTTTTTCTACTTGTATTCTACTTTTTAAGGTCTTGCCCTGATCATGAAGACAGCAGTACTGTCTCCACCAATAATGTTTGGTTGGATTTTATCTCTGACACAATGGGAAACATCTCTTTCCAAAGATAAGAATTTATAGTTCCATGATGAGGTGAGTTTTAAGGTCATCCTCAACATAAGAAGATTCCATGTGTTTCGGTTTTATATTCACATCTGAATAATGTGTGATCAATGTTAAAAAAACTGTGT